GAGCAGAGCTCTCTGGGGATCAAGGACTGTGACGGTGGCCCCTGCCCTGACGCCTGCTGCTTCATGGGCTGACCCTCATTCATGGGCTATAGTTACCAAGCCACTGTGTCATAGTTGGACAGTGGTCTGTCAGGGTCCATGGGCCTCTGGGGCTGGCTGTAGCACTTAGGGCCTGGCCCAGCCACAGTGGCTGCCCTCTGTGGGCCAAGCCTTGCCGTGGCACCTGCACAAGGAGCTTGATGTGAGATGAAGACCGTGTTCCTTCAGGGGGCCCCCACGTCTTTAATGATGTGTGTTATTGTGTGTGTGTGTGTGTGTGTGTGTGCATGTGTGTGTGTGAGAGAGAGAGAGAGGAGAGAGAGAGACAGACAGACAGACAGACAGAGACTACATTTACCTTGTAGCTGGCCACGTCCATGAATGGTTGGTGACTTCAACTATGGTCAGATAGTTCCTATTCTCCATCCTGTTTTCTCCTCTGTGCAGTTGGCTTTATAAAGGACTGCTGTCTTGTCTTACAAAGGCAGGGTATTTCAGACCAACCCTTCACAGTTAATTTGGGGAAAGAGCAGAAGAGTCGAAGCCCGCATCCCCCTTCACAGCTTACTGATCATTACAGGCTGATAGCAGTCAGTAATTTTTTAAAATCAGTTTTGCAAATGAAGTTTTGCAGAGGGTTTCTCTCCTCACTCATCCCTCACCCTCTTCATGGACATCTGAGAACCCAGCCCCTCCTGCCCCTCCTGGATGTGACTCAGGAGTGTCCGGCCTGCAGGCACCAGCGAGCCAGCAGTACTGGCAGAAGACAAGTCTGAGGCCCAAGGCTCAGTGCAGATCCTGACTGTGGGCCAGTCGGACCATGCCCAGGACACGGGGGCGACAGCAGCCGGCGGGGGCGCACAGCCCAGCGGGCAGGACCTCCGTGCCGCGATGCAGAGGAAGGGTGAGCCCCACGGGGGGCCCAGCTGGGACCAAAGCTCACCCCAGGTTCCTTAGACAGACTCTCCTGCAAAAGCCTGGGCTTCCTGCGTCTGGTCCAGGCCTGACCTGGCCACAGGGGAGGGCATACTTAGGGTCAGAGGAGAAGCTTTGGGACAGGGACCTGGATATGGCCAAGTTAAGGGGAAGAAATACAAACTGTGTGATCAGCCCAAACCCCAACTCTGCTTCTTCCCATGTGGCCTCTGAGGAAAAGCTCCTCTTGAAAGTTCCCCGCTTGTCTGAGGAGCGAGGGGGAGCAGGGCCAGGCTGCTCAGAGGTACAGCAGGTGTCCTAGAAACCTGCAGCCAGACAGACCAGTGCCCAAGAGCCCTGTCCTAGGGAGCTCTGTCCACAGTGGCCGAGGGGTGAGGCCTGGCAAAGTCAGCCATACACTGAGAATCTACTCTGGGGCCGCTTCATGGAGAGGGCTGTGGAGGCAGCTCAGGAATGGATGGTGTTCCAGGCAGCAGAGGACAGCTGAGATCCCGGGTCAGGGTGGGCCCTGCTCGTGGAGCTGGGAGTGAAGCTGAGGCCATCTCTGGTGTACTCTGTGGCCTGGTAACAGTAGGTTCTGGTCAGAAATGAGGTTCCCCATATAGAGCGAGCTCAGCGCAGACTGTGATGCGCGGAGGCAGGTGAGGTGGCCACTAGAGAGGGCAGATGCAGGGGCTGAGCTGTAACCGGGCGGGGGGCGTGCCCTGAGGATTGTAACCAGCTCCCTCCCTGTGCAGCTGAGAGCATGTGTGCGTGCATCTGCGTGCATGGAAGTGTATGCAGCTGAGAGCATGTGTGCGTGCATCTGCATGCATGGAAGTGTATGCAAGGTGAGTGTGCGAACAGGTGGCTGTGTGCACGCAGGTGTGTCAGGTGCTAGTGAGTCAGTGTCTGCACATTTGTCTGTAAGTGACCACATATGCTGGCAGGGCTGTAGGTCCTCCCCGCTCATCTCTTCTTGTTCTCCTCGCTCCAGGCATCTCCAGCAGCATGAGCTTTGACGAGGAAGAGGAGGATGAGGATGAGAACAGCTCCAGCTCCTCCCAGCTGAACAGCAACACACGGCCCAGCTCTGCCACGAGCAGGAAGTCCATCAGGGTGAGTGAGGAGTTCAACCACCAGCAGGAGGGTGGGCTGCCTGCCCATCCCAGGGAGGTAACTGGTGTGAAGACAGTAGTGAGCCAGTCAGAGGCTTCTGTCGGGCCCTTTTACCTGGGTTTCTATTCTCTTCAGCCAGGTCAGGGGGCTGGGGCATTTGGATGGGGCTGGAGCTGGGCAGGATGACACCTGAGAACCTGCCTATGCTCCTGTCTCTAACCCTGGGGATATAGCACCTGACTCCAGGGCAGCATGAGCCAGTCCACATCCAGGGACCCTGCCCTGTCCCCTGCCCCCAGCAGAAGGCAGATTTGAAAAAAGAAAGCAGAGTTGGATCCTTCTTTTTTTTTGTATTTTAGAAAATGGGAAGATGTCCCTTGCTCCTTGTCAGGCAGAACCAACACTGTCAAAATGGCCATACTTCCAAAAGTATTATACAGATTCAATGCACTACCAACCAAAATACCAACATCATACTTTATAGACCTAGAGAAACAACCCTAAAATTCACATACATCCAGAAAAGACCCCAAATAGAAAAGGTAACTCTGATCAATAAGAGCAAAGCAGGTGGCATACCAATAGCAGAATTCAAACTATACATATACATATATATATATATATATATATATATATATATATATATATTTTAGGAAGAGGTCTACAAGGGTGTTCAGGGTCTCACTACTAGATCAGACTCGTAGTGATCCGCCTGTTTATAGTCTCCTAAGAGCTGGGATTACAGGCATGCGCCACCACACCCAGTCTCAATTGCTGTCTCAGCATGCCCCGTGTAGGCCAGGTATTGTACCCTGGCCTATGTGCATGCTTGCAGGCACTTTAATCTGAGATTTGGATCCTTGACAACCAGTGTTGGCCCTTAAGGTCTGGGGCTCAAGTTCCCACTCTCCCTTCTGGCAGGAGGCAGCCTCAGCCCCCACCCCAACAGCGCCAGAGCCACCAGTGGATGTTGAGGTCCAGGATCTTGAGGAATTTGCACTCAGGCCAGCCCCCCAGGGTATCACCATCAAATGCCGAATCACACGGGACAAGAAGGGGATGGACCGGGGCATGTACCCCACCTACTTCCTGCACCTGGACCGTGAGGATGGGAAGAAGGTGAGGTTGCTTTCTGTGTGGGTTTTCACCTAGACAGGCTCCAGGGCCTAGGGCAGTGGTGGCGAACTTGTGCTGTCTGTTATCACTGAAAGTCCTAAAAGGTTTGCAGTCACTGGCCTTGGGACCAGCACATGACTGGAATCCTCACATCTAGCACTGACCCCTCAGTCCCTGAGAGAGAAACAGAAGCCTGTGTGCCTGCTCCGTGCAGGCCTGTGTTTGCCAGCGTATGTCTGCACGTGCATGTACATGTACTTGGGAGTTGAGGCAGGGGAGTCGTTGGTGGGAATGGCACCTGTGATTGTGACCAGGTGTGGACCAGACTGGGCCTGGAACATGACTTTGCTCCTCCCCCCAAGGTGTTCCTCCTGGCGGGCAGGAAGAGAAAGAAGAGTAAAACCTCCAATTACCTCATCTCTGTGGACCCAACAGACCTCTCACGAGGCGGGGACAGCTACATTGGGAAGCTGAGGTACCAGCACTCCCCCAAGCCTGGGTGGGCAGGAAGGGCAGGGCAGGCCCCCATAGAAGGCATCTCCTGTTCCTGAAGACCTAGGCCAGGCTTGGCTCTTTCACCAGGATCCTCCCTGTCAGACTCAACCACAGGCCCAGGCTGTGTCCAACTTAGCACCAAACTTGGACTAAGCTGTTCGCAGGCATGAGTGATGGCCCAGCACACATGCTGTTGCAAGCCCAGGGCAGCACTGATGAGCAGGCTGCTAGGGAAGAGCTGCACAGGCTACACGGGCCTGGCTTGAGAATAAGTCCTGGAAAGGAGGGAATCCCAGCTACGAAAGAGGTAGAAGCGTGGGTGGGCTCTTAGCACAGCCTCACAGTGCCAGATTTGGTATTGCAAATGAAGATGAGGTAAGTAGCTAAAACCAGAGAAGGGGCTGACTGGGTTGGGCATTACCATCCATTCCCTCTTCCCTTCCTAGATGCTATTCTTTTGCTCATTTCCCCCAGAGTGGGCAGCACCTTAGTCCCCCCAGGGAATCCTAACTTAGCTCCTCGAATTACCGTCCTTCAAATGAGTCTTTTCAGAACAAGCTGTCCAAGCCTTCTGCCTATGAAGTGGCTTCAAAGATGTGCATCGCAGTGCAGTGTGCCCCTCGGTTTGCCACTGGTCCAGCCCAGAATGCTTTGCAGTATTCTCATAGGACAGATTGAGCTGACACTGTGCTGGGGCTGAAAGCACATGACCCTACACTGACTGTTTCTTTCCTTCAGGTCCAACTTGATGGGCACCAAGTTCACCGTTTATGACAATGGAGTCAACCCGCAGAAGGCATCGTCCTCTACTTTGGAAAGTGGAACTTTGCGTCAGGAGCTGGCAGCTGTGTGCTATGTAAGTCTGGGGTTCCTGAGTCTCTGGTCTCTTAACTTAGGTGCGAAATCCGGGACTTGCTGCCTGATGTGCCAGCCCATCTGTTAGGCGTTGGGCTAGGCTAGGTGAACAGGGGCCGTGGCCCTCCCGTCCTCAGGGTTCAGACTCCATCAGGCCATCTGGAGCATTTGGGGAACAATTCCTGGCTTTATACAGACCAGCCTGGGAGTCTCCTGCACAAAAGGAGACAGGGGAACCAAGTTCCGGTCCGGACAGTTGCCTCATCAATGGTCAACCCATGAGGTAGATTTTATTTTCTTTAATAGATAGGAAACTGAAGTTCAGTAGCTGGATCACTTGCTAATATCACAAACTGGAATGTAAATACCAGGGTTTCTATTGCTCTGATCTGTTAATTTTCTGAAATGAGGGATGGGTGTCCCATCAACGTGGACTTGAAGGCTGTTGGGACTCCAAGCCCTTCTGCACGGTGCCATAGTGCCACCTTCTGGTCAGTTCTGGAGAGGCAGCCTGAATTTTTTTATTTACCTAGCATCCCTGTATTTCAGTGTTTGAGGCACTGAGAATACAGTAGCGGATAGATGTATTTATACCCAGAAGGGACATAAACCCCTGGTAGAAAGGGCAAGCTATATCACAGATGTCCAAGTGAAATAGTTCCTGATCAATTTGAAGAAGAAAAAAATTAAGGGTGCCACAAAATGCCAAAGTACAGTAATACCTCAGTTCGAGAATGTTGTGCAAACAAAACATTTGGCAAAATTTGCTTCCATTTGCAAACTCTGCATTGGGTGACAGGCATGACCGCAGCCAACTTCCCCATGCAAACACAAACGCACCCATCTTCTCCAGGATGGTAAAACACATTCATAAACTGAGGTCCCACTGTATATGTGCATTTTAGGAAGGATGGAGGGAGATAATTCTTCAATAAAGATAAGCAGGAAGTGAGAGCGAGCCATGTACAGGTCGTTGGGACACAGCCAGTGCTAAAGTCACAGATGTCTGGCATGGAGGAATAATGGCGAGGACACTAAGACACTGGGGAGCTGGGGCCAGATCGTGCAGAGAAGAAACAGAAAAGAATAAGCACTTCAGTTGGCAGCCACTGGAGCATTTTGAGCAGAGAAGAAAAACGGACTAACGTGACATCCAGGACCCCTTGCTGCTGGGTTGAAATGAGCACAGGCTAAGGGCCAAGGACAGAATCGAGGATTCCAGTTCATGGCTGTGACTGTGCTCAGTGAGACAGTGACAAGCAGTGGAAGAACTGTAGGTGCCCTGTGAAGGCGTCAGTTGGAGGTGGTGTGAGCAAAGGGGCAGGCTGAGTTTCTCTTCATTGAAGCAAGTTAGTATCAGGAGCTCGTTTTGATAGAGCAGAGACTTAGGAGCTCAGCTTTGGACCTGGCAAGCTTAACGATACCTTCAGACTTTTAAGTGAGATGGTACAACCAAATCCATCTTCATTTTCTTTCCCCGGGCTCTCTTTGAGGCAAGTCTGTTAAGTACCTTCTGTTTCCTAGGAGACAAATGTCTTAGGCTTCAAGGGGCCTCGGAAGATGAGTGTGATTGTCCCTGGCATGAACATGGTTCATGAGAGAGTCTCCATCCGTCCCCGAAACGTGAGTCAGTGCCCCTTTCCCATGTCCCCTGTCTCTGAGAGCTTCTAAGGGTAGAACTCCAGCTTATGTGTACATTTTGAAAAGCCCTAGAAGTCAGCGAAGCCCCATTCCTGGGAAAGATCCCTTTGGGGTGGTCATGATGCCAAGGCTTAGGTTTGGCTCAAGTGAGGCTACCCTCTCAGGAACATGAGACATTGCTAGCCCGGTGGCAGAATAAGAACACGGAGAGTATCATCGAGCTTCAAAACAAGACCCCTGTCTGGAATGACGACACGCAGTCCTACGTACTGAACTTCCACGGGCGCGTCACGCAGGCCTCTGTGAAGAACTTCCAGATCATCCATGGCAATGACCGTGAGTGTTTCTCCCCTCTGCATACTCTCGGTGTGACACCACAGGCCCATAGTTGAGGGTTGAGCTCCCCCAGTGTGGTCCATACCAGCCAGCATTTATGGTTGTGGCCTACATGGCTTACTGTATGTGTTGCCAAAGCCAGCACTGTGGCCTTTAAGGCTTAGACGTAAGACCCTTCCTAACCATAATGACTGGGAGGCCCCGAAGAGCCATGTCTTTGGAACCCTGGTCCTAGATTCTATATGTTCAGCTGTCTCAGGCACAGGAACAGCCTTTAAATGGACTTTTTTCTCCTCTCTCTCCTGGTGTTTGTTTGCATCTTTCTCTTCTTTGCCATCCGCTGCCTCTCACCTGCCATTTCTCCCAATGGGCCTTCGCTTTACTTCCTTTGGGATTTCCTTGGCGTTTCTGCTTCTTTCTTTTTGTGGCTTGGGTGTCTGTCTGTCCTTCCTCTCTCCACTCTTCCTGCCCTGTGTGTTTCTCCCTGTGCTATGCTTGCGTGTGGCCCCAGCGGACTACATCGTCATGCAGTTCGGCCGGGTAGCAGAGGATGTGTTCACCATGGATTACAACTACCCACTGTGTGCACTGCAGGCCTTTGCCATTGCTCTGTCCAGCTTCGACAGCAAGTTGGCCTGTGAATAGAGGCCTCCTCCTGCCCATCGGGGTCGCCCAGCCTGGAGTGGAGCTTGCCTGCCTGCCTGCTGGGGAGACAACCCTGCCGACCCTCTGTTCGTAGGCCTTCTGCTAGATGAAGCTTTGGCCTTCAGCAGGCTCGCTGGCCTAGCCAGCCAGGAACTGACTCCTCTGCCTCTGATGCCAGGGCAAGGCACTAGTGGGTGGGTGTGAAGGAACAAGAGTAATTCCTGTGCCCCAAGACCAACATACACCCCACTCTTGGATTAGTACCCTGCTGCAGTCCTGTCTGCCAAGCTGGGTGACCTCTCGGCTGGGAAGGCATGAAGAGGTGCAGAGGGAGAGGAAGCACAAACAGGGCTGCAATGGCCCAGCCACTTATCCCAGGAGTCAATAGTGGGTGCCCCAACAGATTGGGGCACAGTGACAGAGTGAGCGAGACAGCGAGAGACGAGAGAGAGATACATGAATCATGAATATAGGGCACACCAACTGTATGTAGCAAAGGACTTGGTGGCCTAGCCTGGCCCCTCCAACTTCAGAAGGCTTCAGGCCTAAGGGAAATGAGAGGAATGCTGGAGGCAGGTGATGGCAGGACCTTGCTGAGATTGCAGGGCCTGGCTGGCTTGGGCTGTGGAGATCCACTGGCGGCCTAGAGTTTAGCTGACCTACATCTCCAAATATGCTCTGTGCTTAGAGGCACTGGGAATCCAGCTCCCATGGCCAAATGTCATAGTGGATGAGGCTGCAGGCGGTGTACCAGCAGGCTCCTGGAGTGGAGCTGTCTGGAACCCTGCCTGCTGGCCCAGGAGCTCTGCCAGGAAGCCCAGTACAGCTCCTGGTGAACAGGTGGGATGAAGGCACTGGCCCTTGCTGGCAGTGGACCACTGGCAGGCCACAGCATCCTCCAGGAAGACTCTCCAGCATCCTCCAGGAAGACTCTCCTTTTTGTGCTCTGAGTCTTTCAGCCCCCACTGCTGTCAGCCAAATCGTGGTTGGTGAGGGCAGCCCCCACTGCTGTCAGCCAAATCGTGGTTGGTGAGGGCTGCTTTCTGTGGTTGTTCTTCTGAGGACAAGGGACAAGGTAAGGATAGCACAGAGTATGTTAGGAGACACAAGAGCTCAGAGGTGGTAGAACCTTAGGGATCAACTTGTCACTTTTACTGAATAGGACTTGCCTTGGTTACCCAGTTTGTTAATGGCAGAGTTGAGAACCTCAAGTGATTTTTTTTTTTTGGTCCCTCTGTCCCCCAAGAAACTACTATCTCGTGTTCTCTGGCCTTCTGGGGCCCGTTCTGCATATAATTTACCTTGATTCCAGAGACTTAAAACATTAGAGTTGATACATAAAATTGAAACCATTGAGTAGAGAGCTGGGCAGTACCTTATGGGAAGCAGTGTATCTTTCTTTAAGTCAGACTCGGATCAGCCTGTGCCTGGCCCCTGCACGAGGGCTGCACCCTGGGGGCCGACCTCATGACCCTCCCCCACGGCTCCCTCTTGGATGGCACCATCCTCTTTGTAGGTGTAGGAACTCGAAGCGCCGGCTCATTTGGCACTTACCTTGGTAGAGGCTTCTTTACCAGGTGGAGGTCAGAAATATGGGGAGCAAATAGCAGTTGGACCTCACTTTGGGTAGTAAGCTTGAAAAGGCTAAGTAGACATTTTTTTAAAAATGAAACAAACATGTTAGCAAGTGGCTACAGGTAAACAAGTTTGCCTTGACTTGAGTGAAAGCAGTGAGCTCGTTTCTTTCTAGTCTAGACTTCCCTGTGTCGGGTGCTCGAAGCAAGCGCTGCTCTAGTAGCACCTTCCCTGCCTGAGCACGCGTCTCCGAGAGGCCCCTCCAGCACGCGGGCCTTTAACATGGCCTGCTTTCTAGAGGGCACAAGGACTCTGTGCTGGGACTGTGGTGTCATCCTTTCTGTAATCCTTTGGCCCCTCCTTCCCTGACTTTAAAAAGAGAGCTGCTGACATTAGCGATGACAGAAACAAGATGGTCTCAAAGGTCTGGTCGGCTGTTGTGGGTCTGTGATGGTAAGGTGGACAAGCTGACTCTGAATTCCAGCGAGGTCCTTAGTGGCAGAGTGAAAAAATCAGAAGCACAATGGAAAACTCTTGGCCTCTGCTCTCTGCCTGAACACAGAGGATAGCTGTTGCGACAGGGTCGGGAAACAGGCCGAGCTATCCGGGCGGAGTGGGAGCTGTCATCCTCAACACAAAACCCTCTTTTGGACATTGAGAGAGGCAAGACCATTTTAGTCACTTGCTGAAGACCAGCCTCACACGGTCAGCTCTTAGACTGCACTCCTGGTGATGCTGCCTTTCCTTGACCACTGGCCCAGGGGCCACAGGTTCATGGACTCACAAAGCTGCCAGGGCCCAGAAACCACCTGGGCTCCACCTCTCCTTCAGTAAGAGTTCTTGCCCTTCACACCTTCTGCCCAGATGGCTCGAGTGGGCAGTGAGTTGATGATGGGCTAAGTAGTTGCTAAGGATGTTGGGCACCCGGGACCCTAGGCAGCTCCCTACAGTTGTTCCTGGCTCTGTGCCCCCAAATTCTACGCCCTCTGCTCCCAAACAGTTCCCTGGCAGAGTGGTGATGTTTGCTTCCCTAACGCCTTTCAAAGTCTAGCTTTTCTTTCCTTCCGGCTCCAAGGTGCTCTGTATCCGTGTGTGTGTGTCTGTCTGTCTGCGTGTCTGTGTTTCTGGGGAAAAGGGCAACCTGCATGCAGCCAGCTGAGGTTTCCTAGGATCGCGCTTCTGAGGATGAGTAGAAAAGGAGGAGACTGTTAGCCTTCCCTGTGGATTTGGTCCCTTCATTTCCTGCTCTTTCAACAGGAAGGATATGTGGGCAGTTAGCTCCTCCCAAGGTTCTGAGGGGGAGGAGACCGTCCAAGAAACTTCCATCGGTTTCCACTTGGTGTCACCTGAGGAAATAGGGTGGTACGTGCATGTGCTTAGATGAGTCCGAATATGTTCTAGTGATGTTGCCTTAAAAATCATGACACTAGTTCAGGGGAAGGCATGCAGAGCCAAGAGCCATGGCCAAGGACATGTACTGGGCGCCAGGGAGTATGTGAATGACAGGAAAAGCTCTTAGGACCCATCTCTTTCAGTGACAAGTAGGGTTCCAAGGTTGTATAAGCATTTTTTTTTTCTTCCTGGATATAGGACATTTGCTATATGGTAAACAAACTTACCATTTAGAAGTAGTCCTAAACTTAAGCAGTACAGGTGACTGCAAAGGAAAAGATTCATGTTTTGCTCAGCTGGAGCCTGCAGTAGGGAGACTGGGACAGTCATGGCCATGGCTCTGTTGTGAAAGCACAAATCCTATTTTTGGAAGGAATGTCCTAGTGCTCCTTCCTGTGGTGACCCTGGATTCTGCTCCATAACTCCCTGCCCCAGCAGCAACATTCTTGTGGGGCCATCAGAGATGAACAAGTGGGCTTCCTTATGACGCCTAGTCCTGCAAGTTGGGCCTGACTGCTCTGGGCCCTGGCTTGTAAGCTTGTTGCAGCCCCCAGGAACAGGCCAAGGGTAGGCTCTTGTTTGAACTTACGGCTACCTGTTCCTTGGACCTCCAGTTCACAATTTTCTGTCATCTCAAGCTATGCAGGACAGGCAGAAGTACTGGGACAAACCTGAACTTTGCAGCCAGGCAGAGAGGCAAGTTGTCTGTCCTACAGAAAGTGCTGCACTCAGTAGCTGTGTAATATTGAGCACACCTGGGTTTTCACTCTAACTCGAAGTCAGACCGTCAAAGCATGGCATAGGAATCAGGGTGAATGACAGGTAATTCTTGCTTTCACCACTACATTTTCCAGCTCATCACTGTGCCTTCTTGAGAAAGACACTGCACCCCTCTCCTCCTCTGCTCTCTTGTCCCTCCCCCCCCCGTCAGGGTCCAGGCAGAGCTGGAAATGAGGCTGAGGGCCCCGAGTTGTATACCTAACAATTCAGAATGGCGTAGAAGGGGAAGCTCAACTCTGGCCTCTTCATTCCTGCATTTGGTGACAGAAGGGACTTGGTCAGGATGAGTAACATTTTTCTTGCTGGGAACACATATTTAGCCAGTTTTCATAATGCCTAGAATATGTATGTCTATTTGCACAAGATTGTCTTTTCCAATTTTGGAGTGGTCAGACATTTTATTTTTGTTCAAAATTATCTGAAGTTTTAGACAAACTTGCAAAACTGTGCTTTTATTAAGTGACTTTTTGAATAAACATTTTGGTATTCTGAAGCAAATGTATGGATTTATTTATTGGTATGTGCAATGACAAACTTGGTATTTTCCCATCTTGACATTATGTATGTTGTAGCATTTAGTGTTTGTCTAAATACAGACATATATCAACAAATTAAACTTGAACTGTTTCAACACTACTGTGTCCTTTTTTTCCTCCATAAAGTGAAAAGAAAAAAAAAAAAAAATGAGTCTTTCCTAAAACAGTTTTCTTCCCTGTTCAGGCGTAGGCGCCTCTAATGGTTAGGAGGGCAGTAGCAACAGAGAGGGCCTACCTTGTTTACAGCTGGTGAGGTAGGTCAACACTGCCCTCCCTCTGGCTGTGCCTTTCAAGCTGAAGAACCATCGGAGCCACCCCCAGAGACTGGTAAGGGATGAGAACATAGCGTGTTTAAAAATCCTTGAATTATAGCTCTCCTCTTCAAGGCCAACTGTCCCAGCTGACAGATGTGGTTGGTGGCTCTCAAGTATTCTCAGTGGGCTTAGTCCTTGGGAAAAGAACAGGGCTTTGGGCTGGAAAAGTCCCAACTGGCACATCTGTAGCCCAGCTCAGAGCCTTATCCATGTAAATAAGACTTACATACATGGCAGTCTGCTCAGTCTGTGGCAGATTTGAAGCCAGGAAGACCGGAGGCTGCACACCTGGCTTGAAGCAAGATGCGAAAAAGCCGACAGTTGGATCCTGAGTGAGGACAGATCCCAACCAAAGTCCACCAGTGACTAGAGTGGACCTGGCCACATGCCCTAGATGATGTGGAGGCCAGTACCCAGCAGTACACGACTAGAGGACAGTGCTGAGGATGCTGATGCTGTCGCTAAGCACCCGCCATGTGCTTCATCCAGGGATATATGCTTCATAAGCGGGAGATCATTTCATCTCAACATTCCTAGGAGTTTATTCCCAGTTCGTAAGTGAGGAAACGTGTTCAGAGAAGGAATAATCCCAAACGACATACTGGTCTTATTTGTGCAGGAAAATGGTGAGTACATCTTAGAAAGGTCTAACCATTGTGGCAAAGTCACAGAGGTGTCATTCAGGTTTTTCTCAAGATTGCTGAATAAATGACAAGCTAAATTCCCCTTTGGAATACAAATAGTCTTGTTTTCTCTTAAACAAGAGTGTGATAATAAATTGATTTCTTTTTCCTCTAGAGTTTTTTTTCTTTTTAGTAGGATGGAACTAAGGGCCTTGTGCATGCAAGCGGGTAAGCTACATCCTCAGCGCCCCCGCCCCCATCTTGAGACAGGGTCTTGCTAAGCTGACCAGATTGGCTCTGTACTTGTAATCCTCCCACCTCAGTCTTCCTAGTTGCTAGGATTACGGGTATGTACCACCACACCTGGTCAGATTTGAGAATTTGGTATAACCCAGAGTATTTCCTACCTATGTCATCTGTGGCCCTAGTGGGAAAGAATATATGCAGGATATTCTAAAAAAGAGTTTTTTTGTCTTTTAGTCATTAGACTGAAGAAAAATCTTAAATGACCACAGACTATATGTCTAGATTAGTCCTATTTTAATATCCACTATCTTGGCATTATTATTAAGATTCTTTTTCCAAAGTGTTCTAGTTTGGACCATAAGTTAGGTGATTACCCAAGCCACAGGAGGTGCAAGGAATGTGGCTCTCTCAGGCCATTATTTCTAGAGGTTAACCACCTCTTCCCCCTCAGTCTACCTCCCCTGACCCAGTTTCTAGGGCATGTAAGATGCTTTGTACTCCTGTTGTGACCTGGCTGGTCACCACCTGCTCTACCAAGCATGGACCCAGATGATGCAGCCACTCCTCAGACCAGCCATCTGCCCCAGCGGTGTAAGCTGTGTGCCCTGGCACAGTGCCCAGAGGTCACTGGTGCTAGAGGACTGATCAGGCTGTTAGCCTCTGAGTTCTGAGAAATGAAGATCAGAGTAACAAAACAGTTGTATGATTCTGATAAGCTTGGATGACACCTATGATATGGCTATGCATGTATGGATACCCTGGCTATGTACTTCATAGGTGCCACCTTTTATATAATAAGAGGTGCCCTTAATTACATGAGTTAGAAGCAATGGTATTAAGGTACGCTGATTATTTCATTGACTGCTGATGACCCTGCGGCCTGGACTTTACTATCCTTACTTTGTACAGGAGGAAACCAACTCTTCAGACTTCTTAAAGAGTTGAGGCATCAGCTAGAGTATGCTGAAGCAACATGACTGTTTTTCTATGCCTAGAGACCTCATAATCTTGAGCTTTGGTATAGTCTGTAGTTCATTTTATCTGTTAGGCTCCCCGATTAAATTGAGTTTTTGAAAGGTAGGAATTGAGCCTATTGCCAGTGCCCAGCACTGAGCTGTTGTCTGCTGAATGAATGAATGGGAAGGAAAGGATAAGAGAATCATATCTAGGGCAAAAAAAAGGAAATCTGAACCAGAGACCCAGGGATCTCTTCATATTCAACCCTTCATGGTGAATGAAAGGCAGACCAAATGTAAAAAAAGTACCAAAACTGAAGATTATTTATATCATGTTTCACCTTTAGTGTTAACATCACATCTGCATTGTATTCAGTACATTTTAAGCTGCAGTCTTTACAACAGGAGTCAAACATTCCCCAGGGACAGATGCAATGCAGTATATTTTCTGTAGCCTCAAGTGACTTTTCTCTTTAGTTCAATTAACAACACCTCTTAGTAGCTGATAGATTATCTTAGTATTACTCTATTATCTCTGGTAACAGTTTATATGCTTATTATATGTGTGGGTTTTGCTGTGTTCCCGGCATCACATACCAAGCACAGTGGAACTCTAAATGCTACATTTGCCTTTACATAATTTCTGAATGTTTGAGTCTTCCCCATTTCATGGCTGGAAAAGTCCTTAGAAACATGCCCACTTTAAACTCAGGTTTTACACAAGTAAACCGTGAATTTGCTCACTTTCATATTAGACAGATTTCATAGTTGCTACCTTGTCTCATAAAAATACATGAAAAATGACAAAATGGCTTGGTCAAAATCCTCCTAGTCCCAATTTTCTTCCTTTCTCAAAAGGTCCAAATATTCAAACAGAACATGTGGTCCCTTTTCCCCAGGCACCAATATGTTTGTCTCCACAACAAACAACTACACTGTTGCGGTGCCACTTCCTTACCTAAACTCAGCCCTTATTTCTATTTCAATTCAAGTGCCACAACACTTCCAAGCAGCTTCTAGGCTAAGTTGTTACATGCACAGTCTCTCGCCCCTACTGCAGGGTCCTTGGCCTGAGCTCCTTATTGCAGGACCACAAAACACCACGGTGGTCTTCAGCAGCTTCAAACCATGGCCCTCCACAGCAAGGACAAAGTGTCTACTTCAAGCTTCCTCTCGCTACTGAAGACCAAAGGTGCTTCTAGGTTTGGCAGTTCTGTTAAGCAACACAAGGATAAAGGAAGCTACAGATCCAGGTACTATCAGAGCAAAACAATCTCATAATGGCCCCATGGACTCATCCTCAGGTGAGCGGGCGTCTTCCACACTGGAGAAAAGATATCTGAAACCTCAAGTGGTTTCAGAAAGACTTTCACCAAGAGAAAGAGGCTTCAGTTCAGTGTGCTCTGCACCCATCATGCCCACAAACAATATTTCCCCCGGAAAGCCACTAACCTGTTCAAGCCTCAAAGAGTGAAATATTTTAGAGTCTGAAATCTTCAGTCTTGCAGCCTTAAATCTTCATCATCTGTAGATAGAAGTTAGTCCACAGGTAAACCACCTGGTACTCCTAGGAGGAAGAGTCAGACCTTTGCCTGAGTGGTCCCATCTGTGATTATGACAGACCAAACAGAATTACTCAATGTATCAAACTCTTGGTGGGGAAAAGACAGAAGAGAGAGTGACGCTATCTTGCGTTCACACTAATGTCTATGTTTTACAAGGTGACAGATGTATAAGCACCAGGAAGGATACATGATATCTCTGGTCGAGGCCCAAGAGCTATGATATTTGAACACAGAGAATGAAGTACAGGGCACAGGGCCAAGGATGAAATCAGAAAGGAGAGAAAGGTCACCTTGGGACTAGAGTAACAGATACTTCACCAAACTGGCTGATTTCACTCTAAACCCTGGAGGTTACGCTTCCTCAGCATGCCATTTAACCATGTTCTGTCAGAGCTGATGTCCAACTCTTCATCTCTAAAATCTTGGGTCTGGTCTTCTTTGGTGGTTTCCTCTTGTTCGTCACTGTAGCTATCTGCACTGAATCCAGCATTCTCTGCCAAGATAACAGGATCATCTTCATGAAAACAGCAGGAACATGTTTCTGGCTTTGGGTCACACAAGGTAACAGGATTATCTTCTTGCGGCCTAGTGTCAGTGGGCAGACGTTCCCAGCCCAAATGGTCTGATTCTTCTTCCAGCACTCCCATTCTTTCAGCTATTTCCTCAGCAGAGGGCTCTTTAGGATCAGGGTAATCCACCAGGATTGTTTCTTGCTGATGCTTGATACAGTCTGAAAGGTCATAAACTGGATAAGTCTCCTCAGGGTAACCTAGAGAGAGAAGTACAAAGTCTTAAAAGAATGTCTCCTCAAAAAAAAAAAAAAAAAGTCAAAGAGGATTCTCAGGCAACAGCCATTAATATCCTACCAAATCAATTGAAGAAATCTCTAAGGTGATTCTAATAGTTCCTAACTTTCACTTGAACAAACTTCTGACTCCCAGTACTCCCTAAAATACAAACCAATTCTGAGGAAAATCCCTTAAGTGTACGGTGCGTGGGGTAGTTAAGGCTCACTCACATGTTTTGAGGAAGATTAAACAAATAAAATGAGCCTTTAAAAAATGCACCAAATACCAGATGGAGAGAGCTCAGCTTAAGGCTAATGTTTATAATTTCTATTTGGAAGCATTTCCAAATCTTCTGGGGTGGGAGGAGGGAAAAGAAACGTTAAGCCCTTTGAAAAATACATCAAGAAGCTCTCTACTTCTTAAGACACTGAAATGGTTTGCAAGTGTCAGAAACAGGGAGCGCTTTAGTGAGACATGCCCCGTATCCCAAAGGACAAGCACTGCGTTTTCAGAAGACAGAATTCCCATTGTTGGCTTCTTCATCTTTACAAAATGGAACAAAAGAAAACAACAAACTGGTAAACAAAATGAGTAACACAGTTCTGCATCCCAGCTATGGTAATGAGAAAAGAGAAAATGTTGCCAAATTAAGAAATGAAATGAAATAAATCTGTGTCAGCCAAAACGAGCTTGAGCAGCAGATGGGCCATGCTGGAGCTCATATGCCGGGGCTGGCAGAGGCAGCTCTGCTCTCTACACAATGTGAAGAGCTGCAGAACTCGAAATCCATTTGCACATTATGATAATTGGCGAATTCAACCTTAACGTAAACCACTTTTTGCCTACCAGTTGTGAAAAATAGCAGTCTTTTCGGATACAGCATGGGGTATGCAGATACATTTTTACAGCACCTTTTTTAAAATTCATTGTAGAAAGTTGGAAAAAAAATATGGAGAGCTTTTAGAAAAACATAAAAATCAACTGGAATCCCACCACTGATAATAATCTGCCATATTTTCCTTTGGCCTTGATACCATAAACAAACATTTTTGTTTTTCCCTTTTTCAATAAAGGATCTTACTGCATATGAAATGTTGTACTTTGATTTTTTTCATTCAACACTGTACCATAAGCATCTCTCCATATCATTAGACATTCAAAAGTTGGCTGCAAAGCTATATAATTGACATGATTTGCCTCGTATAAGACATTCAGACATATTCTTTCCAACTTTCTCCTACTATTATGAACATACCAGCTAAGAGTTCTGAATATAAATCCATGTCTACTTCTCTAATTCTTTAAGACAGACTTCTATAAATATGAAAACTAGACCAAAAAGAATGGGCATTTAAAAGCATTTTTTTATACTCTACCAAATTACTTTCCAGAAGACTGGTATAAAATTTCTGTTCTCCCAGTGATATAAAAACTCTCTATCTTATCACACCCTTCCCAGCACTGACAGTTGGCTAAGAATGTCGTCAAGGCAGTCTTTATTCTCGCAAATAACTTACTGTGGATGGAATACCAGTAAATTGGAGTTTAACCACTGCTGTACTGTTGGTGTTTTTTTCCTCCAAAATTCATGCTGAAATTCAGTCCCCACACCATATGCTGGTAGCGTTTGGAAGTGGTCTTTGGGCAGTAGTTAATATTAGGTGAGGTCAAAAAGGAAGGGCTCCATGGCTCAGTAAGGCAAGGAAGAGAAATGCAAGCATGCACGCTTGCTCTGTGATGCTCCCCAACATGTCATGACTGGCAAGAAGCTATCACCGGATGAGAAGCAGATGCTGATGCTGTGCTCCGGGACTTCCAGAACTGGGAGCTACTAAATAATCTACTAATCTCCTTTTATACATCAGTCAACCCACAGTGTTCACTTATAGCAATATAAAATGGATTAAGACAGCTACACAAGGCCTTCACACCATCTTTGATCAAAGATAGGGGTGGGAAAGTCTGTTTGCTGGTTTTGTCTTGGCCATTGAACTCTTTAAAGAGAAATACAGTTGCTGGAATGTTTTTGCTTTCACCCCACACCACGAGCAAAGCTTACCCTTGGATTTCCATGACTATCTTTGGTTTAAGAGGGAAGGTAGACCTACACTCCAAGCCCAGTCCAATGGCTCTACCCCATCCTGAGCACCAGCCTGGCTCCCATTTGCCCGGGCTTCAGATCCATCCTAGTACTAAGTGCCAGGATAGCTCAACAGTTGTAAACTCAATCCCCAGATCAGCCTGTACAGGGTCTAGGCCTGCCAGCACTAGGTCACACCTGTGATTCCAGTCCAGACCAAAGCCAAGTTAGCAAAAATAGCTACAGATTTCAGTTTATATCCCAGCACCAGAATGGAACCCCTAGTACCAAGCTGCCACCTGGAGACACAGGCTTCAGTCCTGCCCAAGGGCCAGGCTACATCCCATAGGCCAGTACACTGAGGGCCCAGATACATCCTAATACACCTTATGCTGGGTCAGCCTCCACAGCACCAGATTGTAGGGCTGCCCTCATGGACCCAAGGTCTAGGTTGACTCCTACAGCCCTAGGATCTAGGCCTGTCCTCATGGATCAAGCTTTTAGGCCTTCCTCTCAAGACTCAAACTCCACACACCAAACCAGATATTATAGATAAACCAGTACACAAAGACTGGAACAAGTCCTTGCTTCTCCAAATGTGTGACACCAACACCCAGATATGAAGATCAAGAACAGTCAGGGAATTTTTTAGAAAAAAGGTAATAATAAAAGACAGAAAATATAGTTACATTCTCTTAATGAATAGAGGGATTTGTTCTAACAGTGTTTATAAATAGGATATCATGTCCACATCTTGTACAGCAATTAACCACTAGGAAGAATGTATGCAATGTTTTAATTATTGAAACTGTCCTACCAATTTGATTTGAAACTGTCTCATTGCTATTTGTTTCTCAATAAAATTATGAAAAAAAAGACAGAAAGACAAGAAGAAAAATTTAAGATTTCTTAAAAGCATGAGGTAATATTCAATCATATGCCCAATCTTGCATAACTATCTGTTAATCTGAGCAACAGATTTGATGATAAAAGTAGACAATACATCAATCATTGATAATCAGCTATTCTTGTTTTGAAAATCTGTAACATATGTATTGTTGTATGTTACCCTGTTTCTGTTTTTCTTCTTGCTTTTGTTTTTACTTTTCAAAATAAAAGAAAATTATAAAAAAAAATAAATTCCTTTTGGAAAGACTTAGAATTTTCACAAACAAACAAAATAAAGAATAGTCAGACAAACATGTCACCACCAAATGGTCAAAATAAAGCAACATTAACAGACCTTAAAATTCTGAAGATACAGATATATAAACTAACAAAGAATTTAAAACAGACACAAAACAGGACAGGGACACAGTATCGTTATGGTATCTAGTTGTCCCCCCAAAGTCTCATGCAGTCATGGGGTGCGGACTTCAAGAGTTTGTGATTAACTCATGATCCACTGGGATTATGTGTGATCCAAGGCTGGGATTATGGGTCTTAGTACTATGGGATTATGAGCGTGAGTACTTCCCCCAGCCTGGGGCAGAGAGCCTGAATGTAATATAAGAAACGGAAAGACAGACTTTCTGTAGCCATCGCTCTTTGTTGTTGCTGCTGTTTGGCCACCATGAACTGCTGCTCTCTGCCATGTGCCCCTCTGCCTTGGAGCCAGGTGAATATGGACTGAAACCTCCGGTAACTGTGAGCTAAATAAACCTTTCCTTCCTTCATTTTGGGTATCGGGTATTTGTCCCAACAAGAAAGAGTAACTAGATGAGTATGAAAATTGTGTCATTTTGCAATTTCACCACTGTGCAAATATCAGATTGAACTCAAACTCACACAAACCTAGATGTAGAATGGGTGTCAACCACCCTTCCCTGGATGCAATCAAGAGGTGGGGAAAGGCAAGACGCATGAGTCTAGAGCCAGCATAAGAGAGCATATTGTTTCATAGGAAATTTTTGTGTAAGTGAAAGTGCACTCTAAAAAGTAAGTAAAGCAATAACATATTTATTATGTATTATACATAATTATGTGCTATAGTTTTATGAGTAATAATACAATAGGTCTGTTTATATCAGCATTTTTACCTACAAGTTATAAGTTGTGCTATGACATTTATGATAACTATGATGTAACTAATGCATAGGATTTTTTTTTAGCTTCATTATACTTGTGGGACTACTGCCATATTTGTATATGGAATCTGTCATTGGCCAAAATAGTATTACGCAGTCCCTCATGATATCCATTTTTAATGAGGTGTGGCACACAAAGAAAATACTGTACAAATAATTCAATAAAGCCAGGAAAATAATAAATGACCAAAAGAAGCAATTAGTAGGGATTAAAATTATACACTAACAAAATTCTGGAACTGAAAAATACAGTAAATGAAATGCTACAGAACCCTCCCACCAAATCAGTGGGGGGATTTATCCATGGTGGTAGAAGCCCAAACTACAGACAGTATTAATCTCTATGTATACTGCTTTTTCTGATGTATAGATACCTACAATAAAGTTTAATTTATAAATTAGGCACAGTCAACAGTTAATAGCAACAATAAATAGAACAATTCTGCACAGACTTAAGGGGAAAGAAGAACATATCGTAGTATATTTATGAGGCCAGCACTAGCTTGAAATAAAGACCAAAGACAGTACAGGAAAAGAAAATCACCAATAGTCCTTATAACCAGGTATTTTAAAAAATCCTTTGCAAACTGAGCTAGGCATATGCACACTGGATTCTCTAATACTGAATTGAGTCACAATATCATGACAAAATGGGTGTTTAACAGGAATGTAAAGGGTTTTAAACTTTTTTTTTTTTTTGGCAGAACCAGGGGGCCGGGGAGATGGCTCAGTAGGATAAGTGCTTGACTGGCAAACGCAAGGATCTGAGTTCAATCCCCAGTTCTGCCAAGAAAAAAAAAAAAGAAAAAAAGAAAGAATAGAACCAGGGATTGAACTCAGGCCCTTGCACTTGCTGGCAAGCGCTTATTCTACTGAGATATTTCCCCCCGCCCTAAGCATTCAAATTTTAATGCAGAGGCTGGGTATGTAACTCAGTTGGTAGGGCATGTGCAAGGCCCTCTTATGCATGTGTGTGCGTGTGCACATGTGCACACGCACACACATAATATAATTCATCATACTAACGGGCTAAAAAAAAAGATACATGATCATCTCAGATGATTTTTTAAAAATCCATAAAAACTCAACATCCATTTTAGTCTTAGTTCTCAGCAAAGTTAAGATTAGAAGGTAGCTTCCTCAACCTCAAACAAAAAATCTATGAGAAGGTGTACGTTGCCCCTGGTATCAGGAAAGTAAGGTTGTTTGTTCTCACTCCTGCTCAGCACTATACTAGCCAGTACAATTACGCAAGCAAATAAAAGGCATGCAGGTCCAAAAGGAAGAAGGAAAACTGTCTTTATTCATAGGCAAGTCGATCATCTATATAGAAAATCTTAATCTAATCCTAAGAAATCTATTTTTTAAAAAAGCTACTAAGTGTATTAAACAAGGTCATAGGATACAAAGTTGAAATATAAAAATCAATCATATTTCTATTGTTCTAGTGGCAATAAGCAATTAAAATTTTAAAATATAATTTGTGATAATAGAAGAAATGTGAACTACTTAGGGATAACTTTATAAAATATGTACCAGACCTCTAAACTGGAAAGAAAGATATATACACTAAGAACTTCAAAGCATTACTGAGAGAAAGTTTTAAAGACTTAAATAAATGAAGAGATATAACAGGTTTATGCATTGGAAAAATCAACACTATTACAGTTGCAATTCTACTATACTGATCTAAAGAGTCAATGCAATGTCAACAAATATCCCATCAGGTTTTTTTCACTAAAATATAGTGAGGGCCGAGGAGATGGCTCAGTAGAATAAGTGCTTCCCTGGCAAGCACAAGGGCCTGAGTTCAATCCCTGGTTCTGAAAAAAAAAAAAAAAAAAAATTACAGTACACTAAAATATAGTGAAAAAATATATATATATATCCTGATACTTTGTCAATTTATATAAAATGTGAAACACTTTGCTTGCAAATTTATATGAAAGTGTGAAAAATCTAAAATAGGCAAAATGACTTTGAAAAAACTGAACCTGTACTACCTGATTATAAGAGTTACCATAAAGACTGTGATAATCTGTGTAAATACATATAGTTCAATAAACAGCTATAATAGAGTCCAGAATAGATATATTAGTTAACTGACTTCCAACCAATATGCCAAAGCAATTAAGTGTATCAGAAGGAACTGGAATAACTGGGTATTGATAATAATAATAATAATAATATATATATATATATATATATATACCTAAATCTGGATATGTGATAGCATCTATAAAAATGAACTTAAGATATATCCTAAGCTTAAAGATAAGCGCTGGAACAAAGAGGTTTTTTTTTTTAAATCACAGAAGTTAGGCAAATCTTGGGATGGAAAAGACTTAACTAGTATATTAAAAAATGTGAATTAAAATGTGAATTATAAGAGAAAAAAGATAAATTTGATGTTATTGAAATTAAAAACTGTTCTTTGAAACATGCTGTTATAGAAAATAAAAAGGCGAGCCACAGATTAGGAGAAAATATGTATAAAATACATAAATGGTAAAGAACTTGTACTCAGGATATATAAAGAATTCCTGAAACTGAGTAAGACTAACCCAACTTTTTAAAAAATGAAAAAACAATCTGAACAGATACTTCATAAAAGACATACAGATGACAAGTAAGCTCAAGAAAAATGCCTACCATCATTAGTGACTAGGGAAATGCAAATTAAAGTGACAACTGAAAACCACTATGTTTTCGCTAGAGAGGCTACAATTAGAAAGACAGTATCATGTTAGCAAGGATCTGGAGTAGCTACAAGCAGGGCCACTTTGGAAACTAAGTTGACAGTTTCTAAAGAAGTTAAACATAAACTTACCATAAACACTAGAAATTTCACTCCAAAGCACGTACCCAAAAGAAAAACCAATATATGTCCAAACCAAGTCTTATATGCAAAACTTCATAGCAGGTTGATTCACAATAGTTCAAACCGAAAAACCACCCAAATGTTCCTCCCCTGTGGAATGTATCAACAAAGTATGGCACATCCAGTAACAGAATACTACTCAGCAATAATAATATAAAATGCTGATTACATGACAACACACATGAATTGAAAAAGCATTATGTTAAGTCAAAGAAGCCAGAGCCCAGAGCATACATAATATGATCCGATGTATACAAAAATCAAATCACAGGTATACAAAGTAGTTCAGCTGTTGCCAGAAGCAAAAAAAGGGGATTTTCTAGAGCGCAAGAAATAGCCTATGCCAAGATTGTGCGTGTGTGTGTGTGTGTGTGTGTGTGTGTGTGTGTTTTAATATATTTGGTGCAGGGTCTCACTACACAGCTCAGACTAATAGTGATCCTCTGTCTTCAGCCTCCCCAGCACTGGGATTACAGACATGTACCACCATGCCTGGTCTCAGTGGCCGGCTCAGCATATCTAAGGGTAGGGCTGGTGTAGCATATGGTGCTGGGGATTGAACCCTGGTCCCTGCGCTTGCCTAAGTAGGCGCTTAAAGATTGTGGTTTGATGATATAATTATACACATCTGATAAAACTCAACCACTCATATACTTAAAATTGGTAAAAATTATTATTATTTTTTTTAAATTTATTTATTTATTTATTGTGTGTGTGTGTGTGTGGCCAGCTCAGCCCACCAGGGAGCAGGGCTGGCTGGCATGTGGTGCTGGGGGATCAAACCGTGGTCCCTGTGCTTTGCCAAGCTTGTTCCATGTAGGTGCTTTAGACCACTGAGCCATCTCGCCAGCCCAGTAAAAATTATTATATATATGTGCATATGTATTATTTATAATACCTCAGTAATAAAACCGATGTTTAAAAGTATTGAAGATCTCTTTTTTGGCGTGACAGCTTATGAAAAAATGAGAAGATGCTGTTTACCTTCCCAGTCTTCCATGTAAGGCGCTTCCTCAGCTTCTTTCTCAGGAGTGGATCTGTCAATGAATTTTCCTTCTTTCATGACCCTGGTGATTTCCCGCAGCTGATGCAGCAATTGTTTTTCTTGGTCAGAAGTCACAGTCTGTGCTCTGCTTAGAAATATCAGACAATCCAGCCAATTTAGCAGTAAATTCTCCTAGGTAATGGATAGAAACATCCCTATGATCTATCTGAATCACAGAACAGGAAGCGGATAATTATACTAGGAATCGATCCTGGAACTACACAGTGGGAAATCAGAGATGTCATTCAATGTTTTGACTTTATCAGTGGGAAAGCTAAGGTCTGGAATAGATCAGGGTTTCACAATGAGTTACTATCAATACCGTGACAAGATCTCAGATGTCTCCCCTTTTAATTCAGTGCTTTCACTGTATCTCCCTAATATCCTAGCAATTTCAGTTACTCTCATGTCTACTCCAAACAACTTTTCTCCTTTCAAAAGAAGGTCTTTAAAGAAAAATGTTCTAGGTCATTAGCTTTTTTTTTTTTATTGGCAGAACCGGGGATTGAACTCAGCTCCTTGCGTTTGCCAGTCAAGCGCTTATTCTACTGAGCCATCTCCCCGGCCCCAGGTCATTAGCTTCAGTGAGGGAAAAACATGCTACTAGAATCATCAGGTTGGGGCTGGGAAGATGGCTCAATGGAATAAGCACTTCCCTGGCAAGTGCAAGAGCCTGAGTTCAATCCCCGGTTTCACCAAAAACAAAAAACAAAAATAGAATCATCAGGTTTAATCTAGTAGTGCAATAAGGATGTACTCTAAAATTTCAAAGCTAGATAATTCTGAAAATTCAATCACCTAGACCAGAAAAATTGGAGAAACTGAGGTATACAGAAGAGAAATTATGTACATATTCATAGTGCTAGTTAACCACAGCACAATAAGAAAAATCATTCTCTTGACTGCTGACAGCACTCTACAATTCTTCCCTCTTGGTACAAGGGATCGAGCCTGGAGCCTCACAATAGCTAGGCAAGTGCTCTACCACTTAAGCTACACCCTCCCCCTGCCCTAGCCCTTACATCAATTCCAAAAGCAGTGCTCAAGTTCTACCATTTAGAAAACTTTGAGTTCCAACCTAGTCACGTGGCACTAGGCGAATACCTAAAAAAATAACATGAGGTTAAAGGATAAAGTTTTTCTCAGAGGAAAGCAGTGCATCACACTGAAAGGCAGACAAAGCCCTACTCAGAAGTCAGACAACTATCTCATAAGAGAACAGTTTTATCTAGTGACAGGATTTATTCTCTCCTCAGAAACCAAAAGCATTTCAAGCATTTCAACATAAAGGAAAAATGACATATTCCATACCATCCTGGCGGAAGTGCCCTCTGTTCTTTTCATTAGCCAGTTCTGGGCTGGTGTCCCCTTTTATGGTTAGCCTAACAAATATTGGTCTTAACTATTAATACAGAAGAAAAAGTGTCTCTGTTTCCAACTTTAAGGTGGTAACTGAAAAGAATGAAGTTGCAACACCTCCATCCAACCAGTGGGAAAAACTCTGTATGTTCTGCTTCTTCAAGAGCAAAGCTTCAAAGTTCTAAAGGCTTAAATAGAAAAAGCCTGGCTGTTCCATTTTCAGCTGGAAAGCGTACAGTGCCTCTACAGCTCTATCCTTCCCATAAGTATGAGATTCCTGATTCACTGTAACTACCCGTGCCCCACACAGCCCCTAACTCTTACTATTAACACCACCTACTTTGTGGGAAAATTCACAGGGAGACTAGATGAGCCTACCAGTTTATCATAAAACTCTGGCTCAAGATTTCACAGACTACTCTGTTAGACTGAACACAGGGCATTCTGATGTTTGCTGAGTGAAACATTGTTGATTCTTTGCTTAAGAAAATCGAAAGATTATAACAACAACAACAAAAATAATTAGGTTCTAAGAAACAACAGAAAAAAAAAATCCAAACCGAAACATCTTCGTCTCACTCTGATCAAGTGTACTCATATGTCAATTAAATGTATTAGGCAGTCACGCACTGTCCACCTCTCCTGCATTTACTGGAATGGACACTTCCAAGGGTTCCTTATTCTCTCAGCTTGGTCTGATACTTCTGGGAGAGCAGTGACAATATGTTCACAGCAATGCAGGCACAGCGTTCTGCTCAACACTCATGCTAGTGTGACTCTTTCTCTTGTCTCACCTTTCTTTTCTTCCAACTCTCTGAAATCCCATCAATAAAACTTACAAAAATCACCAATGGAGACAGACAGTGCCAGGGCAAGTGAAAATGGTCAGACACTGGGTGACTCAGAGCCGTGCAGAGAAAAGTAAGTAAACACGACGAAAGGACAGCCTAAGAAGCTGAGAGGCAAAACGTGTATTTTCAAAGCTGATCTCTTGTTCCCTACCAAGATAAAGTCTTATCTTCATTCTCTTCTTTCGTGTTTTATCTTGGTTAATGCTTTAATCTTCTAGTAAATTCTATACATCTTCAACTGGTCTTTGTCTTTTTTCTCTTTCATTGATTTTTTTCATTGACATTGTCTCGCTATGTCTTTTAGGCTATCCTTGAACTCACCATGTAGCCCAGACCAGCCTGCCTCAGCCTCCCAAGTGCTGGGATGACAGGTGTGTGCCACCATGCCAGCTCTTTCATTGAGGTTATTTGTTAGAAGTTTTCCCTTGAGAACCCTATCTCTTTTCCAGTTATAGCACAAACATTAGGGTGAAGCATTCACGCTCTACCCTCTCCCTCAGACTGGCCGCTATCTAATCATCCCAATACTCTTGGGTGCAGTGTTTTATTCCATGATAGATATAAAATATTTCTTAGACCAACTGTATTTTCTCTCAGAATCTGACCTTGAACATAATGAAGCCTGAACGGAACACTTCTGATGTTCATTCATCTTCAGAGCAGTCCTTGGAGAGTGTCCTCTCCTCCTGCTTCCTAAATCCCCACAGCTTCACTGAATGTTCAGCTATTTCTTTGGTATTGTGAGCCACATCATATCTTTTAGTAGACTCTACCACTGTTGTTGTGGTTGTTATCATTATTATTATTGCCAAGATAGCACTAAGTCTCTATGTTGCCCAGGCTGGGCTTGAACTTGCAACCCTCCTATCTCAGCCTCTCAGAGTGCTTGAGTTACAGGCATGCCACCACCACACCCAGCTTGTCTTCTCCAAATTTTGGCCAGAGTTGGCTGTTTTCAAACAGGAATTCTGATAAGCTTGCTATGAGTTTTTCCACAAAATTCGCTTTACTTGTCCCCTTGTCTTATCACACTGGCCTGTTTATTACCTTTTTCTAGGACTTTTTCAATAACCTTCTACCCTGTAACTACTCTGCATATCACTATGAGTGATTTTTCTAAATATAACAAATGATGACTGTTCTGCTCAAAATCCTTCAGAGGCACCTCATTGTAAAGAAAATAAATTCCAAACTCCTTAGAGTGCCACACAGGCAGGGCCCTTGGGGATGGCTTCAGTTTCTAACTTCCCTCCCACTACCTACCTCTTTACCCATTTGCTCCATCTCTAGAGCTCATCACCCATTACTGCGCACCGCCTGTACTACCTGCCATTCCGAAACCTGGACTAGACTCTCGTTTGCCATCTCTACGGACCTCTTCCTCTGAAACGTTCTTTTTCTAAACTCTGACTGACAAAATTCTTCTACACCGTAAGGGTGTATCTGTATGTGGTAATGGGACTGAAGCCAGGCGCACTCTGCCATTGCACTTAATCCCCAACCCGTATATTTTATTTTGAGACAAAGTCTTAGTTGGCCAGGTGGCCAATTTCAATACTTGGAATACTCCTGCCTCAGCCTCACTCAGGGCTGGGATCACACGTGTGCACCACTCTACCCTGCGCATAAGGTTTATTCAAATCCCCCTTCCCACAAATCTTCTATGGAAAGCAAAGTAAGGGTCCCTAAAGATGTCTGGGTTCTAATCCCTGGAACCTATGAAGATGCTGCCTTCCATGGAACTGGAATAAAGACTGCTAATCTGCTAATATTATAACAGGATGATTACCCTGGACTATCATAGAAGCGTAATACAATCATGACAGTTCTTACAGGAGAAAAGCAGAAGAGATCAGAGTGATAGAAAGTGACAGCTGTTGCTTGCTTTGAAAATGGAGAAAGAAGGCCATGAGCCAAGGAATATGGGCTACTTCCAGAAGCTCAAATGATGAACAGATTCTGCTGCAGCACCTAGAAAAAGGAATACTCCTGCCAAGACCTCAGTTTTTCACTCAGTATAGCACTCTTAACCTACAGAATGATAAAATTATAAATCTGTGTTCTTTTAAGCCACTGGGCATGCGGTAATCCAGCACAGTACCTAACTCATGTGCCTTCAGTGAACTATCTGCCACTGACTGAGTCGGAGGCTGATTCAGGAGGACTGCAAATTTGAATCCAGCCTGGGAAACAGTGAGACCCTATCTCAAAATTTTAAAAAAAGGTCTCAGGGCTCTTGCTTAACGGTAGAGTGTTTACCCTGGGTTCAATTCCCATTACTATTTTTTTAAAAACGGGGGAGGGGGGAATTACCCACTCGGGCCCCCCCTCCATGTCCCTCTCTTGGTACAGAAGCTTTCTTTCTCTCAATAAATATATTCTGCTCATAACCTCCGTTTGTTCCTAAAATTCATTCTTCGGTTTTAGAGAACACAAACTCATGCAGGTCAGGTCCAGAGATGGTTTTTCTCTATGTCATTTGGAGGTTCCCTATATGGTTTGGAGGTCACCCACCCGAGACCAGTTTTTCTCCCTGTATCATTTTGGAGTTTCCCACTGAGATCATTGGACAGAGGGTGTGTTTCCTGAATCAATTTGGAGGGTTTTTTTTTTTTTCTTTTTTCTTAAAGAACACAATGTTCAACATGAGTGTGGAGTCAGCATTGTGGGGAATCTGCAAGGCTCATGATGTACCAAAACATATGAATAAAGAACAGAAGCATTACTCTGCCTGGAGAGACATACAAACAAAACTTTGTACTTCTATAACCCTCACCCAAGGATATTAAGTGCATTGAGTAGAACTGTGGGTAAACAGCTCATATTAGTGAAAAATTACACCATCTCTCTTGGAAAAAGTTATGTTAGTATATATAGT